AGGTGGGCAAGCCAATGCGATCCAACGCTTGGACACAGCAGTGTGAAGCTTTTGAGTGCGCACGCATTTCCCCAGTCTGTGCTTGCACGTCGGGGATGTTGGAAGCATGGGATCACACCAGTAGGGAACCTGTCACGAGCCATTGGTAGCACTTGGTGTTGGAGACGGAAAGGCTCAGCGGCCTCCATCCCCATCTACCAGCACAGTTATCTTGGGTACGGGATCCTGGCCATCCGAGCGAAGATGTTTGAGGACTTCCCTTTGCAGCTTTCTGGAAGGGGTCTGGGTTGCTCTGACTGACTTCTGTCGGAGATCGGCAGCGAAGCAGTCATCGTGGTGGGCAAGCCCACATGGACTTTAATCAGGCAAGGTTGAAGAAGCAAGTGAAACAGAACACAAAGGTGCGGGCGAAACCGGACTCTGGAATCCACAAGAGTTTTGACAGACCAGTAGGCACAAGGCATCGGCAAGCTGAAAGCCAGAATGAAGCTCACAAGAAAGTTTGGAGACTTTTTCGGCGAAACAGAAATCTTTGGGCCGGGTTTTCATCAAGGGCAGTCACGAAGAGAGGGGTATCATACCTCAACTAAAACAGAATTCCGCAACCGAGCTGCTTTCTGGTTTAAGAGCTCTATCGGCTCTATCGCAAACTGCCGACTCGAAGTCTGCATAGAAACCAGTCGACTCAAGCTCCTTACCTGCTTCGGGCTGCCAGCTTTCAGGAGGCTATCGCGCTCCAGGCATCTGACAAAAACCCGTGCCTGCCGACGCTGCAGCCCCAGAACGCCGAGCTTGCCTGTACGACCTGCTTGGTCTTGGTTGCCGAAGCTAGAAAAGCTATAGGACATCCAGGCCAGAGACGGATAGATAGCTCATGCTTCGATGTAATCACGAGAGGCGTATTCCACAATCAACAACACTTGGAAGTATCTGTATTGATTCTGAAAAGAAGGAGGGGGCTACATCGGAAGACATTCCGCAATACGTGCTGGAGTCATCACAGCTTGAAACCGTGACCAACACCAGGCGCTGGGCCTTGTCATGGGCGGAGCAGGTCAGATTCCTGCTCAAACTCATGCCATCTCATGCTGACGAGGTTGCCAAGGAGACGGCGCAAACCGAAGCCAGAAGCGTCTCGCAACCTGTGTGCCCACCAACAGCCCAGCAGCAACAGTAACAGTAATCTGGCAGTTTTGAGAACAGCTGGTCCGACAGCAGTGTCTTTGCGATGGCACCTTTTCGGTAGAAATGCGCGCAGAGATCCCTTAACTCCAGCGTTTGCCACTATATCATATGTCTCTGTAAGCCTTGTTTACTTTGCGGCACGGGGCGGCACGCATTTACGTTGGTTTCGGGAACAAGCATTCTGACAACAGCCCACGCGGTCATCCAGAGCAAAGCAATGGCTGCAGGTTTGTTGTTTTAGAGTTTTCAAGCGTCGGGAGCCCGAGCTGGGCGTCTGGCTCGGCCTGAAGGACGAAGCACAGCTTCTGGTGCTTTGAATAGTTTCTACGTAAGGTCTTTCTACATGGAGTACACCTCCATGCAGCAGACCTTCAGAGGCCGACTTCGTGCCGCGCACACGGCAAGCAACCATGCCTTATCTTCAGAAGTACACATCCAGAGCTCCTTTCGTCGCTCTTCATGGTCAGGATTCCTTTGCACCTGTGACCGGAGGCCGTGGCGCTGCAGACCAAGCTAGATGCGCAGAGCTCTTCAGGAGGACTGTCGGGGTTAAAACACACTATTCTCATGAGACAAACGTGGCTGACAAGATTGCCTCTGGCAAACGTTGCGTATGGTAAACTCGAGGTTTCAGTGCAAGTTCAGCCAGAACCAACCAGACAGCGGTGCATGCGAGGTGCAGCAACAAGCTTAAAATGACCCAGGATACAATGTTTGATTCCACCGGTAACAAAGATCCCTCCGCCGGTGAGGGGCACGGGATAGCGCGGAGGCGTTTGGCAGTTTGAGACCCGCTAGAATCTCAAGGCCGATCGCAGCACGCATGGCGAGGCCTGAAGCATTCAAGCATCCTGAAACCCGAAGCTCAGCTTGACAAGCCCGCATTCCTGACTATGGACGCAGGATCCTGCAGCCTGGTTTGTCGTGCTCGCAGGCGCGTACAAGGGCTTGGCGACTTGAACAGAATTGGCTTGCAGCTGTTGGGGTCATGTTGTGAACGCAGGCTTAAACATGCGGAGGGCTAATACTTTGTAGATGTTTCTCTGCACTGACATTTAACCGACAGCCTGCAAGGAGTCGACTTTCCAAAGGGAATCTGACCTCGCACCTCGCGGCATTGCCATACCCATCCTGGAGAGGAGACAGCACCCGAAGACGTTCATTGCGCCTTCGCGGGAGCTTGGCCGGGCCCAGGCTTTCGGTGTGGTGGGACGTCTTACAGAGAAGCAACAATAGCTCCCTGCCAACATAGGCGAGGCTTCATCTGTTTAATGCGAATCTCTGCACATGTCTAGAACACACAATTTCCCATGTGCCGCGCACAGGCTACAAGTCCTCCCTGGCCACCGGCGGTCGCCCAAAGCTCGTCGCTTGCTCCTTCTTCTTCTGGTGCCTGCAGGTCCCGGATGCCGTGCTTCGTGGGGCGGTCGGTATATCTGAGGAACTGTTTGAACTGATTTTCAGATCCTTGGCGCACAGTGTTGTTGTGCTTTTGAACTGCACCTGTGATCACCTGTGTTACGGCCATCAACAGATGTAGTGGAGTATCCACGCAATCGACATTGGGTTTGGTGGCCACGAAGTGCCTAACTGCAGGATGTCGGCATCATACCGTCGAACGAATCCCATGCCGAAGTGACCCCTCAGGTGGGCGCCTTCATCGCGGGTTTTGGAAGTCGATCGTGTGTTTACATTTGTGAGTCTTGAGAAGGTGTATCCTTCACAGACACGGCTTGGGGGCTGCAGCCGCTTTCGGGTCATGGTTTGTGCACCAGCCATTGGTTATGGAATTGCAAAACACGTATTGCCAACATCGCTGCTGGCAGGATTGGCAGGCTTATTCCATCGTCAGAAGCACTTCCTGAATCTCACTGTTCTGCAGCAGACCAGGTGTACTTCGAACAAGCGCACAAGGCGTGCAACCTGACAGCATCTGACCTGGACAATGCTTATCCAGGCATGCCGGTATCTTCTGTACTGCTGTGTGGGTTGTGCAAAAGCCCGCAACTGGGAGTGATAGCCGAACGGTGAAAATGCACACCTAGATCCGTAGAAGGACTCGCGGCTTGCGCATCTTGCATGAGCCTTGTGCCTCCTGTAATGAATATATGGGCATCGCCTTGGTGCAGGTTTGAGTGCAGATCGGGCATCGTGGTTGTGACCGGAGCTAAGACTCACAGCATGGGACATGTCAACAAATGCATCTGTGCAAGCAGAAGGCTGGAGCCGAACCTTCAAGCGGCGGGGAAGACAGCCCTGATGTAAAGAAACAAGACCGAAAGCAACAGTCAGGAAGTAGCGAATCTCCGAATGCCGTTGTATGTTGTCTTTATGCAGGGAACTGCTGACAGGTGTGCGGGGTTCCAACTGTGCAACCAACATGCAGCTTGCATGATGAGTGCTTGCGGAGTGAGTTCAGCTGTCTGTGTGCCTGAGGCTCAGAGCTGACGTACGTTTATGTCCTGCTGACCTTTGGATTTGGTGTGGAGGCGACCATGAGCTGCAAGATCTGAAATTGAAGATGTAACCAGGTGCATCTCTGTTGCATGCTTGATGCTGTGCCTCCTTGAGGCCGAACCCGAACGCCTGTAACTCCCATGGTCTACTGTTTCTTGAGGGCACCCGCCTTCCTCCCTGCATCAGGCAGATGCCAATATGCTGACTCTGAAGGCAGCCGACCAGCTATGAATCTGCAGACCTGCAGCTAAAGCTCAGTGTAGGGTAGGGCATCCACCAGCACGCCAAGCACACTTACAGCCAACACGATGTCGCGCAGTGATGCCCGATGAGTTAGCAACTGTAGAAAGGCTCGTCACTAGGTCAACGGCTGTCCAGCCAATGCGACAAGCCTCCAAGCACCTCGTGTGAGCTCTTTACCCGGAAGTATTTGCATAGCTGCACCGAGTTCCACGGCGGCTCTCCTTCAGTCAAGAGGTCGCACAGATCCTTAATGCAGGGTTGGTCATGAAGGCCAAGAGAAGCGCTGTCTTCAGCAGCCTGAGCCTGTCCGGAAATCTCCACGCAGGAGATGGATGGGCCCATCGGGCGCTTTGAGGCAAGCTGGACGCTCGGTCTCGCCTTAGAGCTCTCTCGAGGTCGAATGAGGCGCTGGAAGTGCTGCACTTCGGGGCCTAGTCCTCGCGTGCCATGGTGTGCCAGCATTTCAGATTTGGACTGAAGTTGTTCGGTTGTGCTGGCGCATTTTCAGTTTATGTGATACATGTGGGGTATTGATGACGGCTTAGAGCATCAGAGCGGTGTGAAAGTTGACTGCTGTGCATTGCTTCTTGCAGCTGTCGAGATGCCAAGATGGGAGACTGGAAGTTGAATCGATTTTTTTGAAGCGATGCTATGACCCCTCGTTAAGATTAAGCACCCGTTGTTAAGGTGTTGACATGTGGGTAGTTGTCAAAATTATGGTCCCTCTTGGGGTGCCCTAAATACTAGGTGCCGTATCATACTAAGGACCCAAAAAGGGACCATAATTTTGACAACCACCGGTGTGGTGCCACCGACAGGCCTCTCCTCTGAGGCTGCAAAGACTGCAGCCGAGCGATGGAGTCATCACTGGCAAGGGCATGCTGCTGTTTGGCAGTCACTTGCTGAATTACTCGTAGTGGAGGCTTAAGAGCCCTGGCACAGCAGTGACGCTTTCGACCAACTAGCCTGCGAGCAACGAGGCAGACGTGCAGCCAGTTTTGCCTTGAGCTCCAGCGTTTAGAAGCCCGACACGCCTACAGTCAACAGCACCCACATTGGGCTGACATATACAAGCGACGAGTCAGGGCTTGAACTCGAGCGGGCCTTTTCTGCAGGCCTCTCTCGGCAGGACCATGCGTTTTGCTGTGGAGAAGTTGCCTGGACCTTAGGCTTTCTCTGTCCTCGCGTCAGTGAGAAGCTCTTGCGCGATTCGCTACAATCCTCGAAACAAGACCTCTCGCCACCGAGATCCGGGGTACCGAGGCTCGCTAGGCTCGGCTACCCGCTTCGAGGCTGAATCTGACAGATCTCTGGCGGGTTTCGATGCAGATTCGTTCGCTACACCAGATTCTGAACCTGAGGCCCACAGCCACCAGCCTAAATCTTACAATGTCGCAAGCGGAACGACCTTATGGCTCCTCACCCTGAAACTATAATGTGTCGAGGGTGTCGAGCACGGTCGCTTAGTCAATTTGCTGTCCAGACTGACCCGTCTCCGAAGCCTTCAGCTGAGGCCGCGGTTTGGATCGCAGGACCTTTCGATCACCGCCTGGGCGTTCACGAAGCCGCTGGTCCAAGCCAAAACGTTCGATTTCTGGATGTGAGTTCGGGTAGTCGGTGTTGGTGCCCCCTTACCTGACAAATTAGTTTTGTCACCTTTCTGACAGAGCCTCAATAGCAGCACGGTTTAGGATGTTCAGCGCTGATGCGTTTTGGAGTTTGTTTCTCTTTGACTAGCTGATTGTAGGGTTCAGAGAGTGATGGCGCGTCGAGAGCTCGAAGCATCCAGGCCTGCCGTTCAAGATGACGCCTTCTACCAGGCCGTGGCAGAAGCCTCCACTGCAGTGGCCTGAGCAGGCGTGCTTCTGTGTGGAAATGACTGCCGCAGCGCATCGTCGAGTGTTCGGGAAGATAACTACAGAAACGCAGTCTGGCGATGGCCTGCCAACATGAGCGATGCCGCCAGAGCATCCCCTCAGCTTCAAAGCGGAGGCGCCTGAAACAGAGCATGTCAGAGCCGAGGCCAAAATCCAAGACCTTGGAGCGCAGAGCCTTGGCAACAGAGGCCCGGGCCCTGCCGTAGCTACGAGAAGAATGCGATGGTATGCCGTCTCTTGCAACCCGAGGCCGGGCCTTCGGAAAAAGCCATTTGCTCAGTTTCGCCTGTGGAGACTGTGGGAGCATCCAAAGGGATGATTTAATGCTAGCACAAGCTTAAACCGCACCATACCTTGCATGCCAACTGCGTCCTGGATTCTGGTGCGGATTGCCACGCTTTCGCTGCAATCGATGCTCAGGGTCTTTGGCAGACGAAAAGCTACTAAAAGCACCATCAGTGACTGCTCGCGGGAGCCCTAGCCAACCCGTTGTTGTATCAGATGTGGATCGGCAAACGCATGAGGGATTTGTTCATGATGTGCTTGCCATGGGGCGAATTTGCGCCAACAAATTGGCAGGCTTTAAGGGCACTCGAAGATATTTTGCAAGTACATGGTGTGTCCAACAATTTTCGGCTCTCGCAAGCATCAGCAAAAGGTGTACAAGGACGCCAACATACAAGCGCGCAGTGATTGCAACGCTGCAATCTCAAACAACGGCCCTCGGACCATCACCTGGGGAAGAACAGGCGACTTCGCCAAATCAAAGCTGAATGAGTTCTTCCACCTGTCGGCAGAACATACACAGGAATCTCAGCACAGGTGCGTGGATTTGGGCGAAAGGCTACAATTTCAACTTAGTACTTGTTGCGTGTGGCTGGCCTTTAGCTTCAACCAGTTGCCCGCACCTGTGCCACATGGGCTAGGCCTCTGTGGAACAGGGTCCTTTGAAGAAAACCCATACCGCGGAAGCTCGTAGAGTCGGCGACCGTGCCTTTCGTGCAGACGAAAGACACTAGACCGGATGAAAGTTAAAGGGCTGCCGCAACACATTCGGCTCGAGGTGCGAAGATCAAGGAGATGCGGCCACAGCAGCCATCCAACATCGCTCGAGGCAATCAGGGCATGGGAAGACGTGCTTCGACGTGCTAAAGGCAAGTAGAACAGAGTCGGACAGGACATGGCACATCCAATGCTACCGATGAGCCTTCGACGAACAGCACAGCCGAAGAAAGCATCGTCAAAGCACGAGTCTCAGTGGCTGGCTGCAGTCTTTCAGCTCCGCGTGTATGCCACAAGCAAGGTGGCACGCGTGGAGTTTGAATACCAGAGCTTACACCCCACGTAGTCTAGTCTAACGCGCCGTGCCTCTCTAGTTTGTAAATACCACCACCTAAACTAAAACTTAAGATCTGGGAAGTGCCCTGCACCGTCCCCAACTTCATCAAATGGCGATGCGACATGGTGTCATCTCCCAGTGCCCCTGCCTGAATCATATAGCATACTCCTCCCTAGGCCCAGAGCTCTGAACATTGGTGCCAAAGTCGACAAAGAGCGTAGTTTTTGCCTTCAGGTATTTGTACCGTGGCACGCAGGCGGCAAATATGTGAAGTATTACGTTGCCGCAGCATTATGGCTAGGACTGCTTGGCAGTTTTGACTAGTGCTCCAAGTCCCAGGGGTAGCTACCGTCATAAGGTCTCATGGAGTAGCTAGCTGTAGCCTAATTACGTTTGCAATGAAAGATCAATTCCGAGAAGCACTGCAGCCCTAACGACAAAAAAGCATTATGCAACCCTATGGCGACTGAGGTGTCTGAATGCAACTGGATCACATCCTGGAACTCTTTTTTTCAATCAGCTCTGACAAATCAAGCCCGGAGATGCAAGCAAGGCTTGCGATCCCGACCCGCAGAACTTATCAATGGCCAGAAGCTCAGGGTGTCACCCCCGGGTTGACTCGTAGACCTGGGATGGAGTTCTTTCGCGTGCTCTGGCTCTTCTAAGGACCTTATAATCAAGTTCTGGAGGTTTCTTCAACGCAGTACAAAGTCCATGCCTGCGGCTGGCGACCGCGCTTATATAAGATGGTAAGAGCTGGTATCATGCCAGCCAGGGACGACTTGAACAGGTGATGGCTCTGAACACCTGCATAGATGGGAGACTAGCCATCTTTCTGAGTCTCAGCGAACACCTGGATGCTGAAGCTTTTTCTCAAGCATGACTTCATACGAGCCGTGCTAGTTCAACCTGTCTAGGCAAAAAGGAGTGACGATCCGGAGACTACTTACCTCCGTGCCCAAGATTTCGATCCACAATCCTGCTGTGCTTGTTTGTATCAGCCCGCTGCTCCGAAGGCCGCGCGGGCTTGGGCAACTCCTGGCTCAACGCACGCCGCACTTTTTGCGGCTGTCAGGCAGGCTTCACTGTAATTAGATGGACGGCAGCATGCATAGCTCCGGCCGCTCATGTGTGGCAGGCATGCAGCAATCAACAAGATTCATGCGTCTGCACCTCGATTTTGAATTCCTCACTTCAGTGAGCTGGCTACGGCGCTCAGGGAATCGGGGTGGACAGCCATCTTTCCCGAGGATGGTTTAGCGGCAAATGCAGAACTGAAGTGGTATGGTTGTACTTGCAACTCAGGTTGAACACTAGTGCTGTGTCGTGGACTGCCTGAGATCGCGCTTGTAGTGTGCCTGCCTGTGGCGTTGTTCAGCAGCCACAGCCAAGGTCCAAACCACAGGAGCTCAACAACTTGGTTTGGGGATTCGCAACGCTCTGATCTCGGAACGAGGTATGAGTTTTAGAGCCACAGCTTCGGCTGCCAACGTATTGTCATTGCCAAGACGGAGGAAACGCCCTGTGATCTGCCGCAATGCAGCGCCCACACACTACCAGTCACGATCAGCTGTTATCTTAAGATATGTTGGCGGTGGTACTGTTACGCCACCACTGCTGAAGCTGCTGCTGCTGCTGCTGCTGCTGCTGCCACTGTTGTTACGGCGACGGCGGTGACTACACGACTGTTTCCACTTTTTACTTATTGTTACCGAGTTCCAGAACAGACAGTAGAGTATGTACTGCTACTCTATGGATGAAGAATTACAGCACTACGTCACCACCGCTGCCAACTCCAAGTCCTGCACCAAGGGCTGTGTGTCCAGGCCTGGCATCGTCGGTCGGTCGTTGCTGGCTGCTGCCTCTGCAGCAGCGATTGCCAAGGCCATGATGCTTGTAGATGCAGCCGCCGCCCAGCCACGGAAAGGAACCTTCGTCGAAAGCCACTGGGTTTTGGAGCGAGACCCTACCTACGTACATATAAGTACCTGCCTCAAGGAACCAAACAGTCGTACAAAGCACCCAACCTCCGTCTTGCATGGGTCTGCAGAACCCCTATAGATGTATATGTATATACGCAGCTTCAGATTGGTTTCGATAGGTTCGAGAGCTCAACCCACAAGATCTCGCCGTCACTGCGTTGGCGCTTGCCCGTACTTGGCCCAGAATACAGGATGTGCTGGTCGCAGGGCTACTGCATTGCTTCGTTGCAGGGACATCTGGAATGCAGAGATTGAAGACGAAGACATCCGGTAGGACATTCCGCTAAGTGGAGTTGCGAGGTCTTGAAGTTCACGATGCGAAACCCATGGAGGCAGCTTCAACCGAAGAGGCGCTGAAGTCTACATCACAGTCGCAGTCATTCACGGCCAGTCATATCGTTTCTCTCACGTCGAGCCGCCCACCCCCCCCACCCCCGCGCCCTGCCCCCGCACACCCGGGGACCCGGGATCAGTACCGGGAGCATGTATACCTACACAATATACCTACATACATACTTGTACGCGCATGCATATGGCATAAATTCACCAGCGGTGTCGGCTGGCAGAGAGCGAGAGAGAGAGAGAGAAAGATACATTATATATATATATATATGTGTGTGTGTGTGTGTGACTATAATAATGAAAGATAAGTGTGTATATATATATATATGCTTGTCAATTAGACACATATACATATATATATATGTGTGTTATTCTAATGCTGTGCTATACCTTACCATACTATACTAAACTATACTTTCGTATAGGTTACTATATCATATACATATATATATATACATGCATATACATATACATATACGTGTATATATATATATATTACTATACGGTAACATATTATCTTCTATTATCCTGTGTTATATTTTATTATGTTATGTGAATGCATATCGTATCCTCTTTTTACTACTATATTACGATTATGCTATATTATAATATATTGTTTTATATTATAAGATAGTATATTATGTTATGACTTTCATATAATATATCATGTTATGTTACATCATAATATATTTTTCTTCTACACACTCCCTCGCTGCAAGAAAACAGTATAGCAGCGGCTGGTGTCTCCATGAAGAGGGTCATGCACACTTTGTACTGGGCTGCTAGTAGCCACGTCTCCGTATTGTTCGCGTTGAGTACCGCGCATCGCACAGAGGCAGCGAAGATGGACTTATCGCAGCCCCAAGAGTCTGCACCTTGGAGATCCTTGGAGTTTGTTCACCAGCAATATGGACGTGAATAATGGCAGAGAGTCTCGGCTCCATCGTCCAAAAGATCGGCTTGGGTAGGTTGATTTTGAAGCCGGTGAATAGTTAGAGAACAAAGCGAGCAGTCACAGAGTTGCCAAGCGGTCACAGGCCAACCTCATGCGTATCAGGTTGGGGAACAGTGCTTGGGCTTTTGCCAAGCTGGTGACCTTAGACGTGCCTTTGCTGACTGGCCCTCAGCTTCCGACGACAGTTTACTGCTGCACAGCTTGCATATTATCGCGGGAGGAAGTAAAACCTGCGCGCCTGCCGGAAACCTGAAGTAGCGATTAAAGAAGTCCCTCGTGTAGACTGAGGTCTGGTGAGAAACTGTGAGGCACGCTACTTCTCCTTTTTTTCCCCCTCTCTTCAAGGCTTCCCATGCAGATGTTCTGAAACAGGTTGGTTCGTTTTGCAAAGTGAGATGGAGCAAGCCGAGGCATGCCACATCTCGCCAAGCACAGCGCATGTGGCTCAGCTTCTGCCGGGGACATTTGACACAACTGGGAATCACTTCACAGTTTTGATTTTTTCGGAGTGCGAGATGCTGGACACGATGCAATCGACATGCAGTCATGTGCAGCCTGCTTCCTGGCTGCTTGGCTGACGCTGCCTGGATTCAGGCTTGCTGTTGGACTCTAACCCGCAGAACCCGACCAACACCGCCTGGGCACATGGCAAGGCCTCAGCGCAGGTATCTAATTGAAAAAGGTCGGAACATGCGTAAAGAGAAACAGAATGCATCTCAGCATCTCCATTCCTGTCCATGCCGGTAGACATCACGAAATGTGGAGGCCGACTTCCTCGGCCAGCCTTTGATGGTGTCGGTCGGCTCTGTGCCTCGTCAGACTTCTCTGAAAGACGGTGTTTAGAAGAGGTATGGACAGGTGAGCCGGTTGTAAACGGATTGTGGTACAGAAGGTCGGAATTCTAGTATGGAAAGCCTGCTGCCATGCGAAAGAATCGGCCGAGAAGGATGAGAGACATAGGGACCATGTCATGTTGCCGAGCAGCACATAGGTTGTAGGGAATGTCAAGTTTGTCAATTCCTGATTTGCCGCGGCGTGCGTTTATGGCTGATGTCCGGGAGCAACAGTGTTTAGGCGGCACATGTACCTTTCAGATCACGTGCTGTAGCCCTTGATCCTGTTGAACGAGATTGAAAAGGCTGCTGCTGCCAATACTGGATTGCAGCTCTTAAGTCTTAGATCGCAATGCCATATATCACCAGCCTCGTTCAAGTAGGGCCACTGCATGAACGACGGGATGATGGGGGGGTACATGGGTGGTACGACAGCCCAAAATGGACAAGGCCCCTAACTCGTAGAAACGTGCCTGAGCATCCATCAAGAATCATGCATCTTTCGCGGGCGCAGGATGCACTATTGTAGTTTACACGCGCAGCGTTCGAACACGAGACTGCCAGAAGCAGTCAGGCTTCAATGGACAGGCTCCAAGAGTTCAACGCACAGAACTCGCACGGCCCTCGCAAACTTACAGAGTTGTACCTGTGTGCCGGCGTACTTTGGTAGCTTGAAGCATCGGCTGTAATTACTCTTTGCAGAGCTTCAGGTCGAATGCAGTCCGGGGCTTCGCGACAGTCGGTGCAGCAGATGGGTCTTGACCGAACCCCAGCTGACAAACACGAGTAGTGTGTGAGGATGGCAGAAACAGGATCAAGAGTACAGGTGTCGCTGCGACTCTACAGTACGAAAATCCGTGTATACACAGCTTACCATTGAAACGGCACAGTTCCCGCTGCGAGTGTTCGTGTGATTTGAACTGGCCAGGCTTGGAGGCCACAGGCAGCCACTTCGCTTCGAATCTCCACGGCTGTGAACCCCAAGCGCTGGCAAACAGAGCACGGGGGCCGGGGACCGATTTTTCCAAGCAAAGCGGCCCTATATGCCCCGTAGAGCATCCGCCGCGAGGTTCGCCACTCCGGGACTTTTGCAGCAACCCATGCCTGCGGCTGAGTTGACTAGCGTGGCAATCAGTCGACTTTCTCAAGAACTTGCATTCCAGGTTTGCAGCTACTGCATGTGAAGCTTCCGTCACCCTCCCGCAGCTTTCAGGCTGGATGTGTTGCATCCATGCGTCTTCAGCAAGAGACCGTGAATGAACCACATGCCAAGTTGAACAGATGCCTGCACGTAGTGACGGAGTTCCTGGCTTTCTGCCTTTCGAGTTCACGTGAGAACATGTTGTCGGCGAAGTGTGCGCACAATGACTTGCAGAATGTGAAACTCACCGCGGGAACTAGCAGACAGAAGGCAAACCATGCTCTGGGCCCTGGGCACAGATACAGACGGAACGCAACTACACAAACGAACGCTTGCGTGCAATCGGGACCCGAAGTACTCCCAGATTGCAGTTTTCTCAAAGTCTATGCAGTGACGAAGTGCTTGTGCTGCGAGGACAGGGTCCTGCGAACCTGGCCGCTTGCTTGGCGATGTAAATGGACGTCACACGCGTAGAGGCGTAGTGTTGACTGGACTGGCTCGCCGGCCGAATCATCGTGGACATGTGCGTGAGCCTGCTCGAGATGGATCCACACCACCAGCCAGACCAGTCATGCTTTCGTCCGAGCAAGTTGGCCGAGGTCTGGGGACTTTCGACTCTGGGATTGGTGGAGCAGCCTCTCGTTGCTGCTGCGGCCAATCAGGCGGGACAATCTTGAAATTTAGCGCTCCTTCCCTCCCACCGTGTCTCGCTTTGTTCGTCTCTCCCTGTCTCTCGCCTCGCTCTTTCTCTTAACTCTGTCTCTGTCTCTTTCGTTGAGCTGTTCAGTATCGACAGTATGTTCATTTGGATGACTTTCCCAGCAAGCCTTGTTTCGCCCCGCACCTCCTCGAAGTTTGAAGTTGTGCAAGACCACATCGTGCGAGCCTCGCAGCAAGCTGTCCCAAAGCTGATAAATTCTACAATCCACAGCACCTCCGGGAAACAGACGGAGAAAAACAGACGTAGACACGCCGCCGGACTCGCTAGCGACAGGCCTGCTTGCGCTGCTCCGAGCTCCAGGCCGGTTTGGTCTTCGGTATCGGGTTTAGGGTTTAGGGTTTAGGGTTTAGGGCCGCTGGCTGATGCAAAAAAGGGCCGCTGGCTACGAGCCCCTGGGAGTCGGTGTGCCACGTGACGCTGGCTCTCCTGATGCGGTAGGGTAGCGTGTCTTGTTTGCTGAGCTGCCTCACCCCATGATTCGATATCAACATGAGCATGATGCAAAAGCGCCATTGCCTCAAGTGAGGATAACTAGACAGGCTTGCGAAGATTCAGTGCTTCTTGGAAGTTCACATTTAGGAAACTGTCGTTCGAGCGCAGCTAGACCCTGCCGACTTTCTGCAGAGGCGCAGAATCCCTCAAACACAGCATGGAGCTTCGTCTTGTCCTGAGCTGTGTAGACAAGCTACTACACCACAGCAGCGTCCCAGCCTCCAGACTGACGGAGCGGGATACTGCATTCAGTACCCAGGCGAACTTGGACTGCTTGCGCCAGCTGTGTACGGACAGCCGGAGAATGGTGTCGACAATGTGAGAGCTGTCCATGCAAGCATGCAAGACTTGCTTATGTTTAAGTGCTGAATGCTGTCTTGCAGCATGCATCTGCTGTTTCTTGCAAACCGACCCTGAGCATCGACCTACTGGTTCCGATCAATACGGTGGGCACCATATCGATTTCAGTGCAAAATCAATGTAAAAACTGAGATATATGATCATGAAATCAATCTGAAATATGGTGTAAAATCAATCCTGGAATCAATATATTCACATGCTTCAAAACCAATAACCTAAACCCCAAACCCTAAGCCAATGCATACACACACACACACCCACATACATACATGCATACATACACACATGCATATACCTGTCATGTGATACATAACTACAGCTTTTTTCATAGTAAAGCCATCCACACATATATAGCAGACGTGCACCTGTTATACATGTCTGTAAATCTGTATTCGATATATATATATATATATGTATATATATATATACATACATGTACATAGCGAGCTACATAATCCAAGTTGAGGGCTTCCATAGGTTCAGGCCTTTATTGGGCTTTGGCGGTTACGGGGATTTAGGATTTAGGGGTTTGGGGGGGGCGGGGTGTACCCGGCAATCGCAATAGGCCTGGATTCAAAAAGGGGGCTTCGGGTTTGAAGGGGAAGGCTTTATAGGGTTAAATAGGGTTTTAAGGGTTTAGCGTTTAGCAGGTTCAGGGTTTTCGGGCTTTACACTGGAGGGTCAAGGCTTTACAGGGTTTTAGGGATATAGTAGATATGTGGCATAGGCCTTTAAGGTCTATGTGAGTATTTCTGGGGTAGTGCTAGTACCACTATTAATAAACTAGCAATGCTAGTGGTAATCTAGTACTAGCATCATATTAACCAATGCAACCGTTTCATCCATTGTGAAATGGTTAAAAATGGTTGAAATGGAGAAAAAATCCTTGCCTTCAGGCAAAGCCAAAAGGATTTGAAATGGTTGAAACGGTTGAATTGGATAGACATTTTTAACCATTTCAACTTCAACCATTTCATCCGTTTTGACATAGTTGAAATGGATAGAATTTTGCAACCATTTCAACAATTTTAAATACTTTGGGCTTCCCCGGGAGCCGCGGAGCAACAATTTTATCCATTTCAACCGTTTCATCCATTTTGAAATGGTTGAAATGGATAGTTTTTTTGACCATTTCAACCATTTCATCCGTTTTGAAATGGTTGAAATGGAAAAAGTTTTCGACGGTTTCAAAACGGATGTAACGGTTGAAATGGATAAAGTTTTTGCTCCGCGGCTCCGGGGGAAGCCCAAAGTATTTAAAATTGATAAAACGGTTGAAATGGTTCAAAATTTTATCCATTTCAACCGTTTCGACCATTTCAACCATTTCAATTCTTTTTGGCCCTGCCCGAAGGCAAGGATTTTTTTATCCGTTTCAACCATTTGCAAAATGGATGAAACGGTTGAAATGGCTAAAATTGTTGCTCCGCGTCTCCCGGGGAAGCCCAAAGTGTTTAAAATGGCTGAAATACTTGTAGCTTGATGAAATCTGGAAGAAGCTTCTGGAATCCAAGCATCTTTTGCCAACACGCAGTCTTGACAACTCTCTGCAGTACATCCCCGCGGTCCGGATGTCAAGAGCGGCAACATCTTTTATGGAAACGCTGCGCACGCCGTCCGAGGGGACTGCTTCCAGAGCGAATGGACGCTCGTGTGCTTTATACTGCCACGTATGCCTGCACTTCGAGGGAGAGCAACGTTCCAGAGGCTTAGCAGGGAAAAAGGGCAAGAAGTCAGTACACGAAGAAAATGCAATCCAGTTACGGAGCAACAACTGGACAAGTTGCGTGACGAGGAGAGAGTCGCGCGGGATCGTCTGGATCACATGGCAGCTCGAGCATTACACAAGACGCAACGGGTCAAGGCACCCGCGCCTGAGCGCAGTCAGAATCAGGAAGCCAACCCATTCACTGCTACTGCGACTGTTGACTTCCCAACGACTTCTAGCTGGAAGCTGGGGGACCTCATTCGTACTCGACGCTACTCGAACGGCTTCTCCACGCAGAAGACTCCTGCTTGCAACAAGAATACAGAGTCAAATATGGTTGGGTTTCGGAGAAAAGGGCCGTTGCAATTTCAGGGTTTTCCGATAAACGCCTTGGAAGCCGCCATCCTTTAAACACCAATGACGTATGTCTTCTCGCGCTTTGTGCTGCCCGAGGCTTTCCCGTTATTGGCCAAAACAAGTTGCAGAGCACACTGTGGATCTGGACATCCAAAATTGCTGCTTCAAGTTGATGTACCAGATCATGGCGAAACTGCAACCCTCGCATCCTATGTATGTGGCCGCAGGTGAAAGGAACACTTCGCAAGGCGCAGAAGATCGCGAGAGCATCATCCAAGAAGTCCTTCAAACTATAGTGCTGCACATGGCAAGAAGCCGCTGGACAAAATCTTCAATGCAGGAGCGCCGCCGGAGCAGCTTGCTGCGCAGGATTTCGTGGTTCGACTGCAGAGAGCGGCCATGTTCTGCAGGTGGATTTGCGTCTCCATATCACCAGAAGTTTTCGGACAGATGGTTGAGGACGAAGACCGCATGCATTCCGAAGCATCGGCACTGTTTTTCATTTGCAGCACCGTCGAGGATCCGATTATTTCTGCCGGGCTCGAGAAAGTCCAAGAGCAGCAGCCATCACACGTGAGTCTACATTATTTTGACGGCATCCGAGTTGACAAAGCCGCTGTGGGCTCCAACTTAGAAGCTTTCTGCGCGGAGTGCGCATCACACATCAAAAGCAGGACAGGCTTCGACGTGTCCTTGCACCTCAAAAACCACTTAACTTTTCTAGAAGGCATTCGCGTCGGAAGTTCGTCCAGGGACGCAGAAAACACCGAGCCCGCGACTCTTACAGACGAAAACAACTGGATGCTATGCGCCTTGCACAGGCTCGGGCATACTGACGCCGCTGGCAAGATGCTGGACGACACTGAAAGTGAGGCAGCCCTTTACTTTCGAGGTCGGAGGCCTCGCACTTATCTTCAAGTCGCGGAAGCCACGCTACTTACCGTCACGCCTTGGATGAGCTCCACAGAGTTCGCGCACATGCCCCTGGAAGGCAACTTCCCCATCCACTTGACGAAGAACAACAAGCCGCACTGCGTAGGGCTTCCAAGCAACTTCTTCGTCATGGACGGCAATGCAACCATCCAGATCCGGCTCTTCTGGAATGCGTTTGCTGCGGCCATCGACTCTCGACATGTTGTGTTCTTTCAGGTGGGGGAAAACCCTGTAGTATGGCCGGATTGCCGGGGAGCATCCTAAGATTGGAACGAGCAGAGGTCGAAAGACTGCTGGAGCTGCAAGCATGCGCAGGTGACGACCCGAGCAAGGTCAGCGACGATGAGAACAACCGGGAGGCCATGCAAGACAACGATGCGGTGACGCATGTTGGCGATGTCCTTCTCCGGGAGCTATCGGAGCAGGTCACCGCTGTTAGCGCAGACAGGAAGACTCCGCGTCCCGACGCGTCTGGCCGCGCTCGGTGTCCCTTGTGTCCTTTCCGATCGTGGAGCAGACATAACGCCAGCCGGGTGCATGTCCTTATCAAGAAACACCACACCTCCAAGGAGCAATACAATGCCAGCGGCACGAAGCAGATCAAGCTGGTTCTAGCGCTCCACGGTCAGGACAAGTTGGAGGGAATGCCTGCAGCATGCAATTATCTCAAGCGAAGTGTTGACATCATTCGAGAGGCGGTTCGCCCCCCCCTGGTCTTCTGCTCGACGATGCATCGACAAGAGGATCCGGTTATGGTCCTGAGTATTGGAACTTGGAAACCACCTTCAGCGCGGCTCTCCGCAGAAGTCGCAATCTTTATTACAATCTCGGTTTCGCACAGAGAATCTTTCAGAAGACCATCCTGAACAATGCCAAGGCAGGTTCTTGAGTAAGTCAGGATTTAAGCACGTAGAACCTATGTATGAGCTGCCCAAGATGTCTTGTCTGACTTTCGCAGGAACGAGACATGCGCCATGTGTAAATTTGTGCCACTTGCAGTTCTTCCCGACGATGACCGCCATGAAATCTGAGATCAGCAACAGAGCCTGCAGCGTTTTTCCCAGTCATTCCCAAGACCGCATACTTTTTCCTGGTCATTCCAAAGACCGGTGGCTGCTCATCGACTGCAGATCTTTATTGACAAGCAGATCTTTGTTGGCAGGCACGCTGCATTATGGTTCTTAATAGGAGAAAAAAAGAAAGCCTCATATAGACCCTAAAGGTCCAACGTACCTCGATAGTGTTCTGGGCTTTGGGGTCTCGGGTTCGAGGGTGAAGTCTTGCAGGGCTTTAGTAGCCTGTTAGGGCTTAGAGGCTCGGGGTGTTAAGATCTTATCTTGGGTGTCTAGGCTTTACAATTTTTTAGGGGTTAGAAGGGTTTCAGGGCTTAGGGGTTCAGCACTTTAGGGCTTTATGTGCACATATCAGTAACGGAATGTACAATCTTGGGGAGACAACTAAGTATATACATATATAGATATGTGCTTATGCATTACACCTATGATATGAAAAATACTGTATGTATATATGTACACAAACTGTTTATGCTGCCTTATTTTCCCTAGATTATGGATTTTGGTGTTGGTATATTCACGTGTATAGATATATCCGTACATATGTAAAAATAACTATATAATTGGAGGCTATATGATTGGAGGTACAGAAAACAGTCTGTAAAAGTTTGTAATGTACTTGTGTATGTGTACATATATATATATATAGATGTGTATATACAATAGTTACATATACATATTTAGAAATACATGTAATCTAATATAGATTTACGTGCCCAGACGCCTTGGAAAAAGGTTCGGAAAACATGCTGAAGCAACCTTGTGTCATATGAAACATATGTAAATACAAAATGAAAATTATTTTAACAATTGAAATATGCTGAACTATGATAAATCTGTGGTTTTTATCATATCTCATCCTAGCTCATCATGTTTCATCTTGTTTTATTTTTCGACCGAAAACGATGTGGTTTTTCAAAACAAGCGCACGATGAAATATAAGAATTCGGTGGTTGGCATCATAGTTCACTTTTTACTATTTTTGAAATTGAACAATTTCAGAGTATTCAAAACATATTCAAAACATGAAATATGATGAAATCATGAAATCTGTGGTTTCCATCATGTTTCATATTGTTTGTATTGTTGGTGAAATTGAATAAGGATTAGAACACTATGTAAAATATGAAATATGACGAAAGCTGTTGTTTTCATTATAGTGCATCAGATTTCATATTTTTATAAGTCTTCAAGTTTTGATTAAAAGACACATTTGTTTCAAGAATATTCAATCCAACGAAATAGAATAGTTACAGATATGCAACATTCATAATTAGAATCCAGCGTTATTCTATAGAATATGGAAAATATTTATTCGGTTATTGTCTCTTATTACATTCCCAAACCTTTTGCAAGGCTTCGGCTTTAGCGCTATATAAACTTACGGATATACAGGGCTCAGGGGCTTCGGGTACCACCAAAATTCGAAAATCCGCAACCCTAAACCGGTCGACCCACAAACCCCTAAACCGCCCACAACAAGTGAACCGCAAAATCCTAACATTTGGATGTCAAGCCTTCGGGGGTGAAACCCTAAAACCCTGAACCATTAATCCCAAAAACCCGCGTAAACTCTAAAACCCTGTAAGACCCTCCAGGCAAAGCCCTGAAACCCTGAACCTATAAACCCGAAAAACCTTGTATAACCCCTATAAAGCCTCCCCCTTCAAAACCCGAAGCCCTGTAACCGTAAACCCCTGAACCCTATACAGCCTTGCAAGACCAAGCACTAAAACCCTCAACCTTAAAACCAAGACCCCCAGGTGTATATAGATATCATGCCGATATATGTACACATGCGTTTCTGCATAGATACATATACGTATGTTTATATATATATATATACATATATGAATGTAGTTATAGGTATGGGTATCGATAAAGATATATGTTACATATAGGTATATAGGGTATATAATATAGATTACAGATGTACGGATATACAAGCATATCGGTACATATATATATATATATGTATATTTACAAA